AAAAGTATTTTTTTATTAGGCTATAATTAATTATTACTAAAGGGTATTTATAATTAATCTAGTGGTTTTTTTTTTACTTACTACCTTTATAATAAATATTTTAAGGCTTAAAAGTTTTAGGTACTTATAAGCTTAATCACGTGAAGGAATAGCTAGGTTTTTTAGTATTATTTTAATAATAGTTTATTAAAAAAATAAACTTAGCTTTTTTTATAAAGTAGGGAGTATTTTAACTTAGTGCTTTTTATTTTTTATTATATAATTTAATTATTATAATAGTATATTTACTAGATTATACTTACCTAGCTTATACTTAATTTTAAAATTATAAGTTATAAGTAATTTTACTTATTATACCTGCCTTTAATTTAAAACTTTTATTATATAAAAATAGCATAGGTTATTATAATTATATTACACGTGTATAAAATATAAAAAGCCCTTAAAATAATAATACTACTTTTTAAAGTACTTAATTATTATAAGTAATTTTTAATTATAAATCTTATAATAAAGCTTTAGTTTATATAATTAATAAAAATAAAAAATTATAAAATATTACTAGTCCTATTTTTTTCTGCTAGGTAACTTTTCCTACTTTAGTTATATAATAATCCTAGTAATAGCAAACCCTAATATATTAATAATAATAAAAATCTTTTTTTTAAAATTAAAGTATTATAATACCAGCGGCCTAGTAAAGTTTAACTTAATTTTTTTAAATATATTTTTTATATTAATAAAAAATAAAAAAGGCCTACTTTTATATTTTTTTATTATTTTTACTAAAAGCTAGGTTATTAAACATGTTACTTTAGCATAACTAAAAATAAAATATTAAAAATAATTTACAAAGCCTAAAAAAACTTATAACTTATAAAATAATATTAATTTTAATTAATTAATAATAGTCTAGCTGCGGTCTAGATTAATAAATATTTTTTTTTATTTAATAATAAAGCCTAAAAACTTTACCTTCTTTTTATAAAAACTATATTTTAATAATTTTATATATAAATTATGCCTTTTTAATTAATTAAGGACTTCCTAAACATAATATATATTTTTTTTTATTTTTAAAAAAATAAAAATATTATTAAGGTAAATAATGCAAAACTTGTTAAAAATCCTGCTTATAACTATATTTATATAGGATTAAAATATAGCTAGTGTATTTATTAAGCTAAAAGGCATAATTATATACTTATAATAATTATAATAGGTTTAAAATACTATTTTTTATTTATTTTTTTTTTAATTTATATTTTATAATACATGTTATGTAAATCTAGCTTGGTAAAATATCTTATATTTACTAGCTAATTTATTAGCTTATTAATATATAATAATAAATAATAATTTTTATTAGTTATTATATTTAACCCGCGGTAGTTAATATAAAAATATAAAAATTTATTAAGTTTTTAAATAAAAAGTACTAGCACTTTAGTACTACTTTAAAATAGCTTAATTTATTTTTTTTTAAATATTTTATTAAAATACTTTTTTAATATTTATAACTTATACTAAAAAAAATTATAAATAAAATCTTATAAAGGCTTTTTATTTTTTTTTAATAAGATTTTATGCTTTACTTTACTAGTTAAAAGTTAAGTAACTTTTTATTTAAAAAAAACTTTACTTTAATAAATATACTAGGGTGGCAGGACTACCTTTACTTTTTTTTTAATTTTTTTTAATTAATAAAGTATTATAAGTACCGGTTTCTTATGCATAGTTTTTATAAATTTTTATAGTATTTTAATTTTAATAAAAGGTATATAATTTTACTAGGTTTATTTTACTATAATAAGGTAAAGGTTTAAATTTAATTTAATTATTTAGGAATATTCTAGGACTACTTAATAGTTCTTATAAATAAAATTAATAATATAATATATTAAGTTAAATATTTTTATAACTTTTTTTAAATTATAAATTTAAGTACGGGCTTGCAAATGCCTATAATAAAAAATAAAAATATTATTAATATACTAAACTAGTTATATTATATAGTTAGTATTTATTTTAATACCTTGCTTTTATAAATATTAAACTAAAATAAAATTAATATTAGCCTTAATATTAAGTAATACCTTAAATTATTAATTTACCCTATTTTTTTATATTTTAAAATTTACAAGAATAAGAAAAGTAGTTTTTTTTTTAAATTATATAACTTTAATAACTTAAGACCAGGGAATTATTATTTATTTTTTACTAATTTTTTTTAGGCTTTTTTTTATTTAAATAGGCCTTTAACAAGTAGCCTAATTTACTATAATTAAAATAAAAACCCTTTTTTTATAGCGCTTTTTCTTTTTCTTAAAAAGTAAGTTACCACTTTTTTTTTACCTTTTTTTTTCCCTTTTTTAAAAAAGCTATTTTACTACTATTCTAGTTTTATTTTAAGTTATTTTTATTTTTTTTATTTTTAAAGTTAAAACTAGCTTTAAACTTTTTTTTTTAGCCTTTAAGGCCTTGTTATGCTTATTAATAAATTTTATATAAATTATTATTATATTTACTTTAATTATAGTTTTTAAGGGTTTTTTTAACTTTTTTAAGTATAAATAAATATTTTTATTATAAGTTTTAGTAAGTACTTGTACCTTAAACTTTAAATTATTAAAGTATAAGCTTAATTTTATAAAGTAAAGTTTTTAAAAAATAGTATTTTAAGTATTTTATTATTTAATTAAAAAATATTAAATAGTGTGGTGGCCCTAGTTTATAACTAGGTTAATTTATATATATATAAATTTTTTAAAATTTACCTAGGTTTACTTATTATTTTAAAGTTTAACTTAACCTTTTTAATAATTATAGGTGTTTTTTAAAGTATTTTAAATAATAAATATAATTTTTTTATTATTTATTTAAAACCTTTTAAAGGCGTTATAAAAGTAATTTTTTAAATTTTTAAACTAAATTTTAAGCTTTGTTATATTTTTTTTTTTAACTTTTTAACCTTTTTAAACTTAATTTTAGGCTTTTAAAAAGCCTTTTTTTTTATAATAAAGCTTATAATTTTTAATAACCTTTTAGTACCTTTTTTATATATATTTAAAATTTTTAAACCCTTTAAAGCTAGCTTTACTAGTACTAGGTTTTAAAGGTAAAGTAGCTTTAAAATAATAACTTAAATTATTTAAGCTTAATTTTAAACTAGAATTAAAAAAATATTAAAATTAATTTTTTTTAAAACTTATTAAAAATATTAATAAAAAAATTAGCGCGGGGATTAATAAAAAAATTAATATAAAAATTAATAATTTAATATTATTTTAGCTTTAGGTTATAGGGGTAACTTTTTTTTATTTTTTTTAAAAAAATATTTTAATTTTAACACGCGATATTAATTATATTAAAGTTAAAAAATAAATAGGCTAAAAGTTATAATTTTAAGCTACTTTTTTTTAAAACACCTTTAGTTATAATAAATTTTAAATTAATAGGTTTTAATAATAATATAAAATAATAAGGTAAAAAATATATTTTACCCTATATTTTACTAAGTTAATAAATTAAATTATTTAAGTTAGGTTCTTTTTTTTAACTATTTTTAATAATAATAAAATTCTTAAGTATAAATAAAAAAGAGGACACTTTTTTAGTTATTTAAGTTTAAGTTTTAAAAATTTTAATTAAAATGCTTGTAAATTACCTTTACTTACCCTTTAAAAATTTAGTTTAAAATATTATTATTAAAAAAGTTTAAAAAGTAATAGGTAAAAGTAACTTTAACTATAAAACTAATAAGTTTTAAAAATCTTTACTAATAATAAAAATATTAATAAAAAAATTTAATTAATAAAAATAAAGTATTTTAAACCCTATTAAATAATATTAAAAAAGTTACTTAAAAATTTAAAAAAAAGGCTAGCCTTAAAGCCACCTTTATAAACTTTTAAATTATATTTAAATTATTTTTAATTAAAAAATAAATATAAATTTAAATATTTTATATATAAGTTTTTACTTTAGCTTATACTTAAGGCCTACCCTAGCCTTACTTAACTAGTAGCTAAAACCTTAAATACTAATAACCTAGTTAAGTTATATAGCCTAACATAGTAGTAAGGTATGCCAAGCCTTGGCGGCCTAAGGCTAAAACTCAGGCGCTAACTCCGGACCAACAGTGGATTGGCTCCGGTGACGTTGAACGGAAAAACATTGGCCCTGACACCACCATTGGCTGACAGTTTTTGTGTTCGGAATTTGAAACTAGGTTGGGTTGTCATTTGCAGTACTTTAGGACTGCAATTTAAAAGTTAGTTCCGGGACCAACTAGGTTAGCAAATTTTAACTAAGCAAGCTCTGCTGTTTTTAATTAATTGCCCCTTCTTTAACTAATCCCATAAATAGCCACTTAAAGCCAAAGTAGTGTCACGTGGACCTACGCTTTTTTGCTTTAAAATAGCTTGCCTTTTTACACGTGACCTACCATAGCCCTGCTATTCGCACCTTCTTTTATAATATTAATACCTATTTAATAAAATAACCTTTATCCTCCAAGGGATTAAACTAAATTGCTGCAACCACTTAGCACGCGGGCTACCAGGGTATTTTAACCGTGACTCTCACATAAACTCTATGTATTCCTGTCAATTGAAGTCTGAACCCAGCGCAAGATGCATAAATTAAAACTCCCCATTAAAGGCCGTCCCCCTGACAGAATCAATTGTCGAATTATGAAGATTACCTAGCATGATTCACGGTCTCCAAGTCTGCAGCTCACGTACCTACGCAACCGCAGTACCCGCAGTACCCGAGTCAAACACGTCATCCCCGCCCACGCTGCGATCTGAGATGATCCAGAGTTCATCGCTATAAGTCAGGCACGGGTTAGATATCAGGGCCTTTTTACCTCTCAAGGCATCTCACCTCCAGCATCGACATAGGTAGGAATCCTGCGAACTCCCAAAGAATTCAAACCTGACTTAAACTCGCGCCGTCTCTTCCTAGAATATATCCACTCGCCAGGGGCCCGGATTGAAATGTCTTCACTTGCCACCAAACTCACAGCCCGTTTCCAATGGGCATCTAGCCCGCTAATCGTCAGCGCCCCGATGCGAGTAATGGCTGGACCCGCGCTTGCCGTCGCAGTTTCAAGGGCCGGCGGCCTCGGCTTCATCGGACCGACCATCAAAACCAACGAGATGCTAGCAGTGCTGAAAGAAGCTTCTGCGCTCACCAGAAAGTCCACGAACCTGGCCTTACCAGCATCAAAGAATCTCCCTGTCGGTGTAGGCTTCCAGCTTTGGAGCGACGACCTGGAAACTGCGACACAAGCTGTGGAAAAGTACAAGCCGTGCGTTGTGTGGCTCTACGCGCCCAAAGATGTTAAGGACCTAGATACCTGGTCTCGGCGGTTCCGCGATGTTTCTTCCGAAACCCAGATCTGGGTCCAGGTTGGAACCCTCGCCGAAGTCAGGGCACTTTTGAAGGCAGCACAGCCGCCCGACGCGATTGTGATACAAGGCTCAGAAGCCGGAGGCCATGGCCGCGCAAGCGACGGACTCGGCCTCTTCTCGCTTCTCCCCGAAGCTGTCGATCTTGTTGCAGGTCGCATTCCCCTTCTAGCAGCAGGCGGCATTGCAGACGCGCGAGGTGCCTCTGCAGCGTTATGCCTCGGCGCATCCGGAGTCGTGCTAGGAACTAGATTCCTTGCTTCGACCGAGGCGAAGATAAATCCGGGCTACCAGCGCGAGATCATCCGGGCCGATGACGGCGCTGTAAGCACCACGCGGACTCTGCTATACAACCACCTACGCGGGGTTACCGGGTGGCCGAAGGAGTATAGCCCGCGGGGTGTCATCAATAGGTCGTTTATTGAGCATCAGGCTGGCACGTCTTTCGACGAGCTGAAGAAGCGCCACGATGAGTTGGTTAGATTGGGCGAGAAGGCTTGGGGGCCGGATGGGAGGACTGCTACGTATGCGGGTGCGTCTGTTGGGTTAGTTCGGAATGTCAAGGACGCGGGGGATATTGTGAGAGAGATCCAAGAGGGCGTCAGGCGGATGCTTCGCCACGAAGAGGGGGCAAAATTGTAGAAAATTAAGATTTAGCTCTTGCTGTGCTAGCTTTGGAGTGTATGGAGAGCACTTCATCTACCTGACGATTGGAAATACCGCGATTATGTGCATGTATATGGTGGCCGGTCAGGGTTCCAACAGCTCATCAAACCTTACGCAAAGGGTATCATGTCACTGCTGATGATTTCCACAAAAAGAGGCGAGAGGTTTGTACGTAACTCGCTACTCAAGCCTAGGGAAGTACATAGTATATACATTTCTTCGGCTCGGGATACCTACATATGTGGATCCATGGCTCGCCTGGAGTCTACCCGATTGGTAGAGCCACTTGGTCCTTGAAATTCTCTTTGAATACATGGTGGTCGCCAGAAAGATTAAAAAAAAGGAAATTTGCTGTGGTGAGGTTATATATATTTCTGACATGAAGCCCAGCATCACCACGCTGTGCCGCGTTTCCAGCATATACCATGCTTACTTATCTGCCGCCTAAACCCACTTGGCGCCTAAATTATATCTATACTAATATTTGCTTGTAAAATTTAAACAGGTATAACTTTTTTATTTTTATTTTAATAAATAAAGTAATAAAATATTTTAAATTCTTAAAGCTAAAAAAATATTTTTTTATATATAAATATTATTAAAAACTTTAATATAAATTATATAACTTTATTTAAATATTTTAAAGGTATTTAGGGTATAAAAAAGTAATATAAAAATTAATTATTACTTAGTATTTAATAATTAAAAGTTTTTATAAAGTATATTAATTAATAGGTTAGTAAAGGCTTATTTTACTTTTATAATATAATTAAAAACTTTATAAAAAAATTATTTAAAAAAAGCTAATAAATAACTAGGTTTCGCGCTAGCTTATTAAATATTAAAATAAATTTATAAATACTTATATAACTAAAATTAATGCTTTTAAAAAAGGCTAATTTAAAATATAAATACTTTTTATACTTTAATTACTTAAAGCATAAAATTAATAAATATAAGGTTTTACTTAAAAATACTTATAATATAAATAAAAAAGGATTTTTTATTAAAATAATTATAAAAAGTAAAAAAATCTTTTTTAAAAAATTATAACTTTATAAAAAAAGCTTTAAGTAATACTTATAAAATAATAATTAAAAGTAAATAATTATTATTATTTATATATTAATTAATAAAAAATAGTTATTACTAGGTTTTATTTATTAATTAATTATAAATAAATTACAAGACTCCTGGTTTGGAAATATTAATATTAATATTTATAATTATTTTTTTATCTTATTATCTTTAAAATAAATAAATAATAAGCTTAAATATTTATAGCTTTAAAATATATTTAATAAAAAAATAAAAAATTAAGTAAAAAAGTATTAAAAGCGTTTTATTTTTAATAATTATGGCTTTTATATAATAATAAAGTTTTTAAATTATTATAAGGCTAATAAGATTTTTATAATTATTTATTTACCTTATTTAATTTATATTTTACAGACTTTTAATATTAAATCTTTTTTTATTAAGGCTTATATAAATAAATTAAATATATTTATATATTCTTGCCAAGTCCTTAGTATTATATTAAAATAAATTTTTTTAAATTATTTTCACTAGCTTAAATAAAGGCCTTAATACCTAAAAATATCTAAAATTTATAAAGTTTAACTAGCTTATTCCCCTGGGATCCAGAGCGTGTATTAAAGTAATTTAAAAAAATATAAATAAAATTTTAATATTAATTAATCCCCTAGTAAAAATATTAAAAGTAAAAAACTAAAAAAAATATTTAATAACTTATTAAAAATATAAAAGCAGCCCTTACACCTAAAAGATTTAAAAAATTAAAAGTATAGTTTATTACTTTTATATAAAGCTTATACTAGCTAAAGTATAGTTTTAAGGCTATATTTTAACTTTAAAAGCTAAAAATAGTAATACAATATTTTATTTTTTTTTAAAAAAAATTTAGCAAGCCTGTAATTTTTTTTAAAAAAATAAGGCTATATAACTTACTAAAAGAAATAAGTTATGCTAGCAGGAAGCTAAAAAAATTAATAAAAATAAGGCCTTATAAGCTATAAATGTAAAAAAATATTATTTTAAAGCTATATAGTTAAAGGCTAAAAAATACTAAAAAAGGCTTATATAGCTAAATAAGTAAAAATATAGGTTTAAAATAGCCTTTAATAATATTAAAGGCCTTTTTTTTTAAAAAAAACTCCCCCCCCTTAGCCCTAAAGTTATTTTTAATATTTTAATTTTAGTAAATTATTAAGGCTATAAGATCTAGTTATTATAATATTTTTAAAAATTTTAAATTTATATATAAAGTAATTAGCTAGTATAAAATATACTACTAAAACTTTAGGTTCTTATACCTTTTATATGTGTTAAAAAGCTTTATGTTTTATTAGTAGTAAAGATTAATTTTTAGGCGGGAGGTGGGTTTGGGCGGCAGATAAGTAAGCATGGTAATCACCACATACATATACCATATATCACCTATTTGTAGGCGTAGTAAGGACATGATAGTTCTAATACTACGTGTAGCACTTGAATGTATGTTGTCTAGCCTGACCAAGAGAGAATGGCCGCATTGGTGCGCCATTTTTTTGGTATTATCAAACGCTTCATGAAACAAACAATCACATACAACCACAGGGTGTAGGTGAACGCGGTGAGCGCTCACCTCAGCAAGGTGAGTAGGTCACCCTTGGGGGGTGAGCGGCTCACCCTGGTGGGTAATTAAAGGAAATTAAGGACCTATCTCTTGTAGTTAAATAAGAAAGGGCTCTCCTGCTTCTTGTAATTTTACCTTTATTATATATTATATTAGTATATTATATTTATTTCTCTTACTTTCCCACTTTTACCCCGCTTATATAACCATAACATGGCAGAATTAAAGGGTAGGCTTAAACTACTTTAAAAACTTATCAAATTTTAAGGGTTTATAAAGTTTTACCATGAAGAATAAATAATATAAAAAAATATAATTTATTATAGATTTTATTTTATTATTAATAAAAAGTATGGACGGGCACTTAATTACTAAAATTATAAATATTTTATAATATTACCTGCTTTAATAGAAAAATTATTAATTAATTTATTTTTTTATACTAAATAAATACTATCTAAGGGCCTGTTTAGAAATTAGTATTTAAAAAATAATAATTTTTTCCCACCTATATAAATACTTAAACTTTTTACTAAAAGCTTTATTATTTTTTATAAGGGTTTTTTATTAAATTAATATATTATTATTTATACTTTTTCCTGCTTTATAAATAAGTAGGAAAAAATAATATTTAAAAGTATTTGAAAAATTTATAAAAATAATATTTATAATATATAATTTAGTTGATTTTTTAACCCACTTAAAGATCTTATTAATTATATTTTAATATATTAAAAATATGCTTACTTTTAAGTATAAGCTTTTTACTTAATATTAAATTTTTTTATAACTAAACTTAACCTTAATATTTTATTTAAATATTTATATAAAAAAATAATTATAATTATATTTATAAATAATTTAAATTTTAAAATATATTTAGCCTTATATTATTTACCTTATTAAGCGCTAGAGCTAGGGCTATTATTAAGTTTAGTTTATATAAAAATCTAAATAAAGCTTTTTATTATAATATTTATAAATATTTTTTTATTTTAATATTAATAATATACTAACTATTACTAATATTTATTTTATTAAACTTAAAATAGGATGCTTTATAATATAAGGTTAAATATTAGGTTATATTAAACCTAAAGTTTTCAAAGGGCTATTACTATAATAATAAGATAATTATATTTAGTTATTTTAATTTTTTTTATAATAAGCTAATAACTAATAGTAGGTAGTTTAAAAAATTAAATTAATAAGTAAAAGAATTTAAAAACAAATTTTATATTTTAGCCTATAATATATAAAATTACTAATAATACCTTTAAAAAAAATTATAACTTTAAATAAACTACTAAAAAAATCCTATTTAAAGGGCGTGAATTATAAACCCTTAAGTAAAAAAATACACTTTTAAATTACTAGTATTTTATAAGGTAATAATATTTAGGCTAGATTTATTTTAAGTATTAACCTTTTTTTATAAAATAATTATAATTTTTGAATAAAAAGAGCTTATTTTTAAGATTTTTTAGAAATTTATAAAATACAAGGGGTGGTTGCAAATATAATTATCTATAAGTTATTTAATACCTTGCACACATGTAGGGAATATTAATTAATTTATAATAAAGGCTTTTAAAGCAGCGCGCACCCAAGCTATAAATTATTAAAATTTAAATACCTTTAAAAATATTAATTAAAAGTTAAATAAATTAATCTTGGTGCCTGCTTTTAAAATAAGGAATTTAATTATAGGTTTTATATAATAAAAAAAGCATAATTTATTATTAAAATTTTAATATTTTTAAAAGCTTAATGCTATAATAATAGTAAAAGTTAAAAATAATTTTATAATAATAGGTATATATTAATAAGTTAATATATTAAATTATAAAATTACTAAAAATTTAAATAAGCATAAAAACTTAGTGGCTAAGCAAGCTAAGTTATATAATAAAGTAGCTAGATTATATTATATAAAAAAAGTATATTAATAATTAGTAAAAGATATTTTATAATAAATATCTTTTAAAAAACAAATTTACTAAATAAGATATAACTAACCTTTTTAATATTTATTATAAATATATGCTAGAAAAAGCCTAACTCTAGAAAAATTCATTTGAAAAAGTATTAAATTATAGTAAACTTGGCGGGCAATACCTATATAATATACTAAATTTTATTAAATTAAAAAAAAGTAGCCTATTACCTAGGTAAATTACTTATTAATAAAAAATGCTTGCTTTATATTAAAAGAATAACTAGGTTTATTATATATATTTTAAATATTTTTTTAAAGCTAATAGTGTGGAGGGGCAGTACTAGAGCATGGGAGCTAAGGAAGCTAAATAGTGATGGTAGCCTAGGGCTGGATAGTATA